CTCCTTACCTTATAAATATTTTGTCTTTATGAGGTCAAGGATTCAAGTTTCCCTCTTCTCTCCCAAAAAAAAAAAAAAAAAGTTCACCAACTTTCCATGAGATTTCTTCCATCTTGTTATATACTCTTTTCCTTCTTGAACCTCGGCCATAAGCCTTGTCATTTCTACATCAGCTTCTTTCACCAAAGAGCCTAAATTTTTACCAATGCAAAAAAATATTTCAAATCTGCTAGCAAGTGGTTCTCTCGGATTCTAGGCCCAAGCCAAGATGACCTAGCTGGTCTTCCATATCTTTGTAAAGAAAGGCCATTACTTATTCTGGCAATCTTTCTTTCTTGGGTGGGACTATTTGATATATCTTCCATGGAATTCCAGCTTCTTAAGGGGTTTGCTTGGTTTCCTAACCTTGGATCTATTATTGAAGTTGACTAGCTTTTGCTATGAAGTTAAAATTAAATCTTGCTAGTCTTTTAGAACTTTGAATTTCTCAAGTACTTTGGTAGCTCTGTTTGGTTTGAACTCTAAATGGATGTGAAACATCAGGTCCTAACTTCCACTTTCGTTTCTGATGCCTTAGGTGACCATCCAGAAGACGTGAAAGCGAGACTCAAATTTTGGGCGCAGGCTGTGGCATGTACAGTTAAATTATGCAGCTAGAAGAGATCAAGAGTTCTAAGTTCCCTGGTTGAAGTGGATGACAAACATGATCTTCAGCATGGGAATTTCATAGGTTGGACCTTCATGGCGTGCGTATTCTTGGGGTGATCCTTTCAACGGATAATGCCCACCGGGATGGACATCCTTCATTCTTTACCTGGAGATGGATATGTCAGAATCTGTCAATGATGGGTCAGCTTCGGAGAAGTTGAAGATCAAGAACATGAAATGGAAGAAGTATGTTTGAGGTCTGAGATTAACTGAATACCCGAATTGAGTCTGACATAACTCATCTGAGGCTTAGATAAACTGTATAATTAATGTATCTAGCAATTAACAATAAATGAGTTCAATAATAAAATTTCTTTCTTCTTCTTGTTCATGTCATTACTGATTGCTGTCCAATATTACTGTTCATTTCAATATCCCTTCCTATCTATATGCAGTGTTAAAGACAGCCTCCAATGGTGGGTAATGGTGGTTCAAGATAATTACTTCCATAAAGTCCTTACATTGGACATTTATTTCTTATATCTGCTTAACAGCTTAAGTACTTCAATTAATATTAGGAAACTGGTTTACGACCCGCAAAAATAAATTAGGTACCAAAACTTCTACATTGCGGGTGGTTAAGGGATTGTGAATTAGGATTGTCACCGTTAGTTGAGGTGAAGCCAGATAGTTCAGCAAAAAGATTGAATTGAGGTGAAACTCTTTTTAGACCCTCATTGTTGCTATCTTGATCTATATGAGAGTTGGCTTTGATAATGTCCCATCAAGTTCTGAGTCCACAAGCAAACAAGTAACCCAACAGGCCATCATCTTCATAAAAATGGAGAAGGGAATTGGAACATGCCAGGGAAACAGAGGGAAAGCTTATTTGCTAGTGGTGGTTTGAAGGTGGGAAGAAAACCAAGGCAAAGTCTAATGGAAGCTTATGTTAAGATGGATAATGTGGAACAATGCAACACAAGTTCACGAGACTGGAAGTTTTGAACTATCTTTTTATTGAAATTTCAAGCATTCTAGACTGTGTTGTTTCTGAGGGCGCATTTTTCTCAGTTTATCGAGCATCTAATTTGCTTTATCTCTGAGAATGGCTGCCAGAGAGTATAAATTGAACCATTCGGAAAGAAAAGCAAGTGCATGTGCTGAGTGAGTACAGAAGCAAGGAAAGGAACTCCCAAAACCAGAAAAAAACAGAACATGAACAGGATTGGACCTATTACAGCAGTCTTAGAACTGAGAAGTTTTGTGAACTTTTAACTACTTGTTGATCTCTAGTGAATTTGAAGATTGTTTACATACATCAAAACGAGGTGTTTGAGATCAATCCTAGGATCAATTAAACTTTTTTATCGTCTTGAGCCCATTTAGCTTTTAACTTAACACTAACGGTCCTCTTACAAGCACAATGCACTCAGTAGAATCCAGACAATGGGAAGGCATTGGAAGGAATAGAATGTAAATTTCCAAATACCATAATTGTGATATGCTCTTTAACTAAATATAATGATGGTCTCTCCCTCTATATTGATATCAAAATCATACATTAGCTCGACAATAGCAAGCCATCGAATAGTGGTTCCATCACCCAAGACTCAAATTGGACCGATTTTAATCTTCCTAGCTCATGAAAAACTAAGCAGCTTATCAAAAACAAGTTGTGATCTAGTGTCGATAAGGCAAATATTTATACATGAGTAGTATAGTAGGATTCCTATAGTTGGAAAAAGAGGTTACACATGTAGAAACGGAGTTATAATTTTCTTTTGAGGGGATCAAATAGTGGGATAACAAGATATTTTTAGTCAATATGGATCATTCAATTAGATCATCAATGTTATGGAATTTATATGCATAGAATATATAAGAATCAATTTCACATGGTATAATATAATTATTATCTTCAATAAAATAAATAAAGTTAATCGAAACTAATTGAATTATTAGATTTAAAATTCAAATCAATTTCACCATTAATTTAAAATAGTCTAAAATTTATAAATTTATACAATACCAAAATTTAACGATTTATACAAATTGTCACAATTTTAATAGTATAATTTAATGTATAAATTATAATTTAAGAATTTGAGTGAGATATGAATGTGATGAAAACATAGTTTTAGGGGTGTAATATATAATTTCAAAAAATCGAGGGGGCCACGGCCCCCTTGAGCCATAACATGGTGCCACCATTGTATACACAGGTTACCTCTAGACGTGCGAAATCAGTTTGAATCAACTTGTGGTTCCTAGAAAGAGAAATCTTGGAGGGGAGAGACTAAAGAATTTTTGTTGTATTTTTTGTATCTTCTCTATATAAAACAAGAGTTTGATGATGAATACAAATCCTATCTCAATCCCAACTTATGGGTTATCTCAACTAATGAAAAGATTAGGATAATTGAGAAGAGCCTAAACCTATTATGACTCTTATAACCTTGAGGACACTAATGGGTTATTATCACATCTCCCACTTGTCCACATAGGAGGTCTTACTCTCCATACATACTTCATCTCAATGTCCTATTCATACAGGTGATGACTCTTGCGACTTGACAAAAAAGAATAGAGCGGGACTGCTATATTAAGCTATCATCTAACTAACATAACTCGTCACCAATAAGATATCGTCTATACCCTAGATAACTCAATCACACTGGATCAAGTATCTCCTATCCCTCTTGAGACTTTACTCAGAGCAATACTTGACCCATCTCATTTTATGTTCGTATTCATGAGTATCTCATGCAGCTAAGCAAGCTAATCGCCCAAACAATGAACTACCAACTAGGTTGTGATATAAAATCATATTTCCAAGAATCTTATATCAATCCATTTTGATTCGAGCACTTTCCTAGGCATGTCTCATGTGACCATATCTATCATGATCCTGGGTGACATTCTAAAATAGTTACATTGAACCTCGATTTCATGAAATAGCTCTAGGTCGATAAAATTTTATTTTTTGTAGTGAAACTCAGTTTATTATTTAATAAAAAAATTTTATTTTCTATTGAGAATCTGTTGAGTAAAATGTTTGAATTATATTAAATATATGTTATGTATACGTGTCTTTTATTTTATATTTTAGATAATCTAGTGTGTAGAGTTTGATTTATGCACAAAAAATCAAATTATCGAATTATTGTATGATATTAGTAAAGGTTCACAGTCTTAGATAGAATTGGACACACCACCAATAAGATTGTAGTGCAATCTTCTAGCATAGTCTCTCTTGGCTATAGGAGATTGTCTGATGTCTCGAATTGTTGCACTATATACTTTGTGTATTGAACATGACCGTTATTGAAGTTATTAAGATCTTAATCCTGTGATATTTAATGGACTTATGCATATAATAATTGTTAATTTAATTCATAAAAGATTGAGATTCATATTTGAGTCAACAAACTCGGTGAATTGGGAAATGATATTATTTGTATAGTATAAATTAATTATTAAAGAAAATCACATCCTAAAATTTAAATGGGTTGATGATGCCCTCTTGAGCAAGCTTATAAGTTTTGTGCATGTCAAACCATGCAAGTGAATTTAATTATCTAAGATAACAAAAAAATTGAGCGCTAAGATCTCAAGGACAATTTAATTAATTGACGGATGTCTATAATCTTAAATGTAGGGAGATTATTAAGTATATAATAACAAGGAGCTCAAAATATAATTTTGAAATAAAGCCTAAGAGATTAGTAATAAGTTTTTAGTAAATTAAGTTATTATTAATGGATTGTATGATGTTTGTTTTGGATTGGACATAGGATTCCTATGCCCATTGGAAGCTCGACTGTTATTTCTCCTTAAGGTCTCTCCGGGTACCTATAAATAAACGCACTATCTGGTTCTCTCAGCCATATACTTTACCTTCATGTTCAAAAGAGGCAGAGAGAAAATTCGGAGGATTGCATCCGTGCAATGAATGAATCACCATTGGATCGGACAAATAATGAATAATTAGCTTTTGACTGATTATAACTAGCATCAAGAAGTGCTTCTATAAATTTAACAAACCATTGACAAGATGCTTGTTTGTAAAGCGATTTATTTAGCTTACATACTCGTGCCTCCCTCTTTTGTTCAAATCCAGGTGGTAGTTTCAACTACAATTCTTCTTCTAAATCATCATGCAAGAATGCATTGCCATTGAGTTGATGTAAATGCCACCCACGTGTAGTTGTTAAAGCAAGTAAAATCTGAACTGTTACTAGCTTAGCCACGGGTGCAAAAGTGTCTCTGTAATCGATTCCCCATTTTTGGTTGTAGCCCTTTGCAACTAATTGGGCCTTGTACTACTCAATTGTCTCATCAGCATGATATTTTATCTTGTATATCCATTTGCATCCAATAGATTTTTTTCTTGTCGAATGGGAAATGAGAGACCAAATATTATTTGTTTTAAGTGCCTAAATTTCAACTTGCATTGTAGATTTCCATTTAGGATCTTGCATAGCCTGTGAGAAATTTGAGGTTCTGTTTGTAATAAAACAAAACAAAAGACAGAAAGAAGAGAAGTTGCAAATTTTTTATTACTCGAGAAGAAAACTGGTGTGTATAACCAGCCAGTACACAACTTAATTTATAGAAAACAGTTCCTAAACTTTCTCAACAAAACAGAGTTTGTTGAGAAAATTATGTCAAAGAAACACCAACATGCCTAAAGACCTGGAATAGAGATACTCTCTTGAAGACTAGTTCAAGCAAATAACAAACTTAGACTCAGTAAGCCTAAGACTTATTCAGCAACTCTTAAATAGGGAAAACACAGTAAGTTGCACTAATGTTGACACTCCCCCTTAGTGTAAACTTACTACTCCAAGAGCACTGCAGAAAACTTCAAACTTAGCTTTTGAAAGAGCTTTGGTAAAGATATCGACAATTTGATTTTCTGTTCAAACTTTCTACAGCTCAATCTCTTGAGATAACACCTTCTCATGAACAAAATGATAATGAGTTTCAAGATTCTTTGTTCAAGCATGGAACACCTGATTTTCAGCAAGCTTGATAGCACTTTCATTGTCACACTAAATAGGAACTGGACAATGAGTAGTGGAGACCAATTATTGAAGAAGTCGTTTGAGCCAAATACATTCCTGAGTAGCCATAGTTGCTACTGTGTATTCAGCCTCACAGCTTGACAGAGTAACAGTTGCTTGTTTTTTATTACACCACGAAACTGTTGCTGAACCTGTAGAAAAACAATACCCAATTGTAGAGCGCCTGTTATTTACATCACTAGCCCAATCTGCATCTACAAAACCACTCAACACAAATGTTGTCTTGTGCCTGTACATTAATCCAAAGAAAAGAGTGCCTTTAATATATCTGAGTATTCTTCTTACTGCCGCTAAATAACCTTCACATGGCTTGTCCGTAAACTGAGATATTACTCC